AAGTGATTAAACAGTTATCCATCTAAAATAATGATTTTAACAGAATTTTACACTGTATAATTTGCTAAAATAAAATAAAAAAGTTTGAAATTTATTGATATTTCTAAATGCTAAAATGCAGCAAATTGTATCAAATTAAATAAAAACTATTAACAATAACAATTACAGATTATTAACAGATTATTAAATAACAGTTTATTTAATCATTTGTTTCTAAACACAGTATTAAAGTAAACAGATGATAAAAATTTTTTTTTTTAATTATCTTCGCTTCCAACAAGGCTGCAAGCAACCACTACTTAGTGTTGAAAAAGTGTTGGAAGTTACTGGAAGAGAAAAGATAAAGATTGTAGAGCAAGATAACGATTGACAGACGACTTAAAAAATTGCAAATTATATGAATCAGGAAAGCAAGATGAAAGCAACGAATTCTAAAGAACTGATGTTTGAGGAAAAAAACTAGACGAATAAGATCCCCACCATGTCCCTGGTAGTACCGCGCTCAACTCATTTCTCCACACAGCGGCCTTGTTTGTCAAGGTTCGTGTTTCGGAGTTATAGAGTTGAGAGAGGGTTATAGCCACAAATAAGTAGCCTCCTCGTCTGTAGTGGCCTTCTCGACCTTGAGGAGGTGAATTGAAATAAAATAAATAAATAAATAAAAAAAAAGGAGCACATAGGAACAGTAACAGATTGATGAGACTTAATTGAATGATGAGTAACACGAGAATGAATTTTAGTAGATGGCACAAGAGACGCTAGTTCTTTAGAGCAGTGCCCATTATAATATTTGTAGAAAAGAGTAAGAGAAGCAACATTACGACGATGTGACAGAGGTTGAAGGTTGGCTGCAAGAGCAGGTCCAACTATGTTTAAAATACGTTTTTGCACCTTGTCTAAAAGAAAAAGGTATCATAAGAAGATCCGCCCTAGATATGGCAACAGTATTCCATACAAGAACGGATTTATAGAGATAGAAAATAGAATCAAGAGTAAGAAAGTAAAGAGCTCGATAAAGAGAAGCAACTTTAGCAGATGCTAATTTTGCAATGGATTTGATATAAGGTTTCCAAGAAAGATCAGAAGTAAGAGTTAATCCTAAAAGATGAAGGGTAGGAGACTCATCAAGTACATTACCGTTCATAAATATAGGAAGGTCTAAACTATTGCGATAATGATTAGCCAAAAAAATTTGAGTTTTATCTGAATTAAAGTTCACCAGCCCATGCTGTAGCAGAAATGAGATTCTTTTCAAGCTCAAATGTCCCCTCCAAGCAATCAGAGAGTGTTGGCTTCTTATCATAACAAGAATAAATGGTAGTATCATCAGCGAACAATGCCACCTTAGATGTGAGAATATCTGGAAGATTGTTAATGTAAATTAAAAAGAGTATAGGGCCAAGGATTGAACCTTGGGGAACCCCTGAGGTTACAGAATAAGAAGAAGAGTGCTGTCCATCAAGGACAACTTTTATACTACGATTGGAAAGGAAGGATTCAATATTCTTAAAGATGTTTCCAGATACACTGTAAGAAGAAAGCTTATGGAGAAGACCAGCATGCCAAACGCTTTAGAAATGTCAAGAGCGATGGCCTTAACCTCTCCACCTTTATCTAATGCGCGATAAATTGTTATTACTGATAGCAAATCAGCCGTAGAACGAGAAGATCAAAATCCATATTGATGATCAGAAAGTAGTTTATGAGATTCGAGATTAAGTGTTTGTTAATTAAAGATTCAAAAACCTTGCTTTTGATAGGAAGAACACTAATGGGACGGTAGTTAGACGAATCGGATCACTCTCCAGAATTTTTAAAAATAGGGATAACAGATGCTGCTTTTTAGCAGGCTGGAAAACAAGACTCTGATAAGCACTTGTAAAATAAATAGTTTTGAAAAGATAGACGACAGCTCCGGAGAACACTTCTGACTATAACAGGTATGTTATCCGGGCTGCAAGCTGTAGAAGAGTCTAAGCAGGAAATCACTTTAGATACAGAAGCTGGAGTGATACGAATGTCGAGCAACCTTAATGCCTGCAGAGTCACTGACACTAGAGCCGAGCCATTCAGTGTGATGAACATTAAAGTCACCAACAATAACAATATTGGCTGATGGATAAAGAATGAGGGCTTGGTCAATATAATCGGAAATAACATCAAGAAGAGTGCAGTCTTGAGGGAGAGCGATATAGAACAAAGGGAAAGGTGATAGAGTGAAGTGGTGCTAAACGAAAGCACATAAAAGAGTAGTCTGTGGATTCAAACCTAGTTTCCTGACAAATGGGTGAATTCTTACGAATGTACATGCCCAGGCCAAGCATGTGACTATTGGAGTCTTAATGAATTAAAGGAAGATAACCATCAACACCAAGATCACAAGATGACACAGCTGAACTCAAATTAGTCTCACAAAGAGCAAGTAGGTCTGGTGAACTTTGCAAGAAATAAGACTCAACAGAAGAAAAGTTACTTTAAAGACCACGAAGACCACATTTTA